CCCCCAGCAGCAATAGGGGTTGCTGGTATCTGTGACGTTTCCCACACCAATGGCACAGGCTGCGGGGGTCTGGCGATGCTGGAGGGGCAGACGTGAGCTTTAGGGCTAACCCGGCGGCTAACGGACGTGGGCTCTCGGGCACGGCCCTGCCTCAGCACCAACTGGCCGCAGCTCCTCTCCAAAATGCCCGCGGTTGGTGTGGGGACTCGAGCGCTGCCCAGGGTTTACCGTCTGCCCACGAAGGCTTTGGGGACAGGGGCTCGGCTGTTCCCACCGCGGTTTCAAGTCTTTCGCTAACGACAGCGTGCAGCCCGCCCTGAAGGAGGGCGGCTTTTGCCTCGTCCCTCTGCTGGGCTTCCCTTTCCCGCCAGCTTGACTGCACCAAGCGCTCAGGAATGAAATCTACCCTCACTCTGGCTTTGCCGCTCCTTCCTTAGCAGCTTCTCTCCCTGCAGGAATTCCCTGGGAAGTGGCGTGCTTTCCGCCAGGAACTTGTAATCGGTTTTCAGCCTTGAGGAACAGACGCTGCTCCCACAGCCCGAGCAGAAAAACCTGCTCTGAGGGAAGTTCTCGCAATGAGGAGCGGTTGGGCTGTTAACTTGCTCATGATTAGCCATCAGCGTCCTGCAAGAGCATTTAAATATAATTGTATTAGCCTTGTGCCACCATTTGTCCTCAGGTAAATGAAGTGCCGTCTCCTTAGGAGTCAGCGTTTTGCAGCAGTGGCAGTAACGGAGCTGAAACACCGACCAGTCGCTTTGCTGGTCCTGGATTGCCTCGGTGGTTGTAGGAGGGTAACAGCCAGCACTTCCCTTGGCAGTGGCACAAGTCACCCATCAAAACATTCATTTCCCATTTTCCAGTAGCCTGGAACACCTCCAAATGAGCAAATCTACATGTCAGTGGATCTTGTCAAACTTTTACTTTTTTGTTGGTTTGGGCCTTCCAGAAAACAAAGAATGTGTTCACTCATCACTGGCAGGTTGTTTTTTTCTCTTTTTTAAACTATTCCTGTACCGCAGGCTTTCCCGGCAGCCTGCCCGCAGACAGCAGCACGTGCCAGCGATGGGCGTCCTCTTCCCCCCACGGCATCTGAGAGGCCTCAGTACCTGCTGGTTCCAACCGTTTGATTTTTAACCTGAGGCAAGGCGGGCTGGAAGCCCTTCGCCACCCTCCTCTAGGGGCGTCCCGGCCCCGCGGTGCGGAGGTGGGGATTGAAGCCGGGCTGCCGGGCAGGACAGAGCCAGCAAGTGCCGCTCTGGCAGCGAGAGCGATGCTGGGTACAGCTCCCACTCCTCGGCCCCGAACCGCCGCGCGGGAAAACTCCCCGGCAGCCTCCGTGCGGACACGGCAGCGGGGCAAGGTGCACCTCCCCACGGTGGGGTGACCTGCAGAGGGAAAGCCCAGGCTCGCAGCCCCGAGGAGGGCACAACCCACTGGCTTTTACAAGCCGTAGAGTCTGGAGCGGTTCTGGGCATTTCAGAAACCCAGCTGCAGGGACCCGAGCCCCACACGCCGAGGACGTACCTGTGGACGGCTCCAGGCTTCGGAAGCTGCTGAGCAGACCCATTTTACCTGTCAGTCGTGGACTTAAGGGCCTCCTAATACCCCTATTTTAATTACGGTAACAATTTCATGGACTGAGGATTCTTTCATCCTCTTGCAGGGGGTGGCCGTATTAGCGGGCAGTGAGAGGGATGATGCAGCCTCTGGGTCAGCCAGATTAACGCGGAGCGTTTGCCCTAGATTCCGCCGGACGTAAATCCACTGAAACGACCGCACAAACCGCACAGCCTGCGCCCTCCGCTTTTCCCTGATTTAATGCTGTACTAAAATCAAATCAATAAAGGCGCATTAAGTACGTTCAGCAGAAGAACTGCTGTTCTTTGAACGTACGAGGTGCCACTGGAACTACCCCGCCCTTGGGCGTGGAACGGCAAGATGGTTCGAGGTACCGAAACGAATCCAGGTCTTTGGACCAGCACCAGCTGACGGCAGCCTGTTTCTACATCAACCTGCAGCAAACGACCACACGCTACGTCTCATCTGCACATGAAGAAAAAAGGCCATTCTCTTGCCTTACTCTTTTTTTTTTTTTTTTCTTTTTTTACTTCTTTTTACATCATTACAGCTTGTGAACGAGACCCTCGGAGGCCTGTGAATCACACCAACGTGGCCAACAGCTGGGATTAAAATAATCGTCCGTGCTGAGCAGCAGGAAGGGGAGCACGAGCAGGGCAAGGGCCGTGTCCCCCCCAGGGTGGCCCACGCAGCCGCAGCCGCCCAGCCCTGCTCACCGCTTCTCGCCTCTTCGGGAACGACCGACAAGGGGGCGGGAAAGTGAGGAGTCGATACAAATTGTAATAAAGATTCAGGATTTCTCATTTTATTGCATTCGTTGTCTAACAACAATAATACTCATTGGCAAGAAATTTATTTACACTAACAAATTAACTTTAAACCACAAGGCTTTGTTGTTTGTATTTAAACTGTAAGAAAACAAAGGGCCACCATGATGTTTCGCTTTGATGTCTCCCAATAACTAAATATTAACCAAAGTTATTTTGGGGAAAACTCAACAATCTAGAGAAGTTCATATCAACCAAGCACAAGAGAACAAGCTCAGACGTGGCACTACTGCGTCCTTCATGCAGGTGATCAGACACCGAGATGTACAAACGAAAAGTTCAGGGTAACATGCACTTCATATACACTTGACCTCTTCAAGAAAAAGAAAAG